ATTTTTGGTAATACAACGTTGTTTCCTGCTAAGCTTAGCTCTAGTGCGAGCAGGGAGGGATATTGGACATAAGAGTTTAAGTCAACTTTTAAATGCATGTTAACTTGTCTCTTGCTATCATATTACAGTATTAATGACAAAGGTTTCCGTATATGAAGAAATTTATGTGTAGCATTTTTAGCTCTGTGCGTGCTTTGTCCATCAATGTGTCCGCTACTGCATATGCCTTGACATGTTATTTTATTATTATTAATATGAATATTCATATTAGTTTATATATATTTTAATTAATTTTAAAATTACTAATTAAATAAACTTTTAATAACTATGAAAAAACTCAAATTTATGATAACAGTTCTAAAATAACGTATTTATAGATTGAAGAAGCCAGTTTGTAAAAACGTTTAAAAAATAAAGGGATATATTGCAATGTTGAAAGCCTTATTGTTAGTAAAATCTATTTATATTTGTAAATCAAAGAGTTTTTTAGCAACAAGATAAAAGGCAAAAAGACAAGTAGATAAAAAGAAAGTTGTAGATTGATAAAAATTATTCAAGAAGCATGATTGTTTATTTTAGAAACTAGTTAAAGTCTGTTTGAGAATATGATTTTAGTTATTTTTTAAAGTATTTTTTATATTAAAATATATTAAAATAATTTTTTATTTTTTAAAAAATTATTTTTGAAATTATCGTATTAAAATGATCTAAAATATATAAAAAAATTAATTTTTAATAAAAAATTAATTTAAAAAAAAACAAAAATATATTTACATTTTCAAAAACTGCTAAGCATGAATGTGAATGCTATAGTAAAAAGCAATTTTCTTTTAATTTATTTAATAATGTTATTTTTTCCCTTTTTTCTAGTCAAACTTGCAAGCACAAAACCATGACTTTTGCAAGATTCATGCTATATGACAACATTTCTTTCATGTGATGTGCAAGTGCAATGCACTTAATATCAACTAATTAAAGCTGGAAAGAAAAAATGTATTTTTTAAAAATAAATATCAATTTAAATTAACTTTTCAAACTTGTGATCAAAATCATTAAACAAAAAACATTTCATCTAAAAAAACCAAAAAGTTCAATTCTCGACCGACTAAAAGGATGAAATTGATTTTTTTAATTATATAAAAGATAAAAAAAACATATACAAGAATAAGAATTGAAATGGAAATAAAAAATAATTTTTATTTTTGATGGAATAGTGAAATTAAAAAGAAAAATCAAATTGAAAAAAACGAACATAAAAAATAAAAAATAAAAATAATTTTTTTGATTGAATAGTGAAATTGAAAATAAAAATTAATTTAATAAAAAACATAAAAAAACCAAAAGAAAAAGGATTATAATGAAAAAATTAATATTAAAAACTAAGATGGAACAATGTAATTTAAAAAATTAAAATTTTATAAAAAATTCAAAAATAAAAAAAAAAATAAAAAAAATAAAAAATGAAATCTCAAAACAACAAGAGACAACTCTATAATATTGCATGGGTAGCACGATTTCCAAGAGGAGAGAGAAAAGTAAAGAAGAGAAAAAAGATTGTCGTCGACCAATCGCAACACCACCGAGCACACTTGTCATCCCTTAAAAAAAGGGGGCTGCGTTGCATCTATGACCCATGATGTTTTTTGGTAGGAGGACTCGCCCTCACTGGCGGAAAGGCATGAGCATTTTTTATTTGCTATTTTTTCTAAAATATATATTATATTTATTAAAATATCAAATTACTTTTTAATCCCACTTTATTTATAATGAAAAAACCAATGTGAAAGGATAAAAGTATCCTTGCATGTTAGTTTTAATTTTTTAATTTTAATAATATTTTAGTTATTTTACTATACTTTCTATATGAAAAATCTTTTTTTTTTAAGCCTAATAACTAATAAATCTTATGCAAATATCAAACTACACTTAATTGCTGGTTTAAAGTTTTTTTTGTGAGAAGAACACAACCATCATCAAACGGTTCCCTGCGGACCATACTCTCTATCTTGGTGCACAGTGAATCTATTCCGAGGGATATTCAAGTTCTGCCGATGATTGATAATAACGCCGGCACTTGAACAGTTGTAACTAGGCCAACAACCATACACGACACTCCTCCATGAACAAATTGCAATGCACACACCTTGCGATTTGTCATGTCATAAGCATTGAAATTGGTAAACAAATAAAGCGAACAAACCAAAGCAATCTGGATTTTTTTTAATAAAAAAATAGCATTGTTTGCCAACGATTGGAACAATAACACATGTTAAAAAAATACTTCAAAAATAACACAATTTCAGTATAATTACATTTTAAAATATTGTTTTTATGTATTTTTGTTACTTGGAACAATGATTGCGTCTCATAACAATTGTTTTCTTTTACAAATTATTAATCTAAACAAAAATCAATCAAACTTTTTTATGAAAATCAAATAATTAAAAAATAAGATTCAAGATTAATAGCCAAGAAAAAAATATAAAAAAAAGGTGACCTTGCAGGAAAGAGAAATAAGATAAAATAAAAGAAATAAAGAATAAGTCACCAGGATATACAGAGTTCTATTTTTAACATACTCGTTATTGTTAGAAAAATCTTTACAAGATGATTCTAACTACTTCTTAGAAAAATATCAAATGAAATCATAATTAATTCTAAGTATTTTTTGTGCTGAAATGCATCAAAACAATATTTTTTTATTTTTAAAAAATTATTTTTAATAGCAGCGTATTAAAACGATCCAAAACATACAAAAAACTAATTTTTAATAAAAAAATTTAATTTTTTTTAAAATACAGATACAATTACTTTTTCAAACACATATTAAATTACCCCTAGATAAAACCCCTGACAAATTGCGATCATGTTTGATAATATTTTTGGTATATTTATAAAAGTTTTATTAAATTTTTTTTAATGATACTAGATGTATTTAAAATAAAGCTTAATATGTATTTAATCACCAATTATTTCTTGAGTAATGGATCTTAAATCTTATTTATTAACAGTTGAATCTTCATAAAATTTTTAGCTGCCTTCTTATACTTGTTATTTAAATGGAGAGGGACTTAGTTTGTTGAACTAACATTATTTCTAATAACAATTACGTTCAACCGCTATTTTTAACATAATAAAACCATACCATTTTTCTAATATTTTTTAATTTTTATGAAATAGTGTAAGAATTCTAAAATACCCAATCAATCCAGCACACCATCTCAATCGAAGCAGACGATCCCAGCACGCAATTTCAATCCAAGCACACGACACAGCAGAAAGTCTAAACAATTCCCATATGCTGACATGAAAGAAACCATCCCCTCCTTTTTCATCTCAAATCAAAATCATGAAAAGAACCCCACTTCTCTCAACACATCCGGCAACCTGTAAGGATTTCTGACATAAGCAAGAACCAAAGAAAGGAAGAAACCTAGAAAAAAACACACCTTTCCTTTATCTCTACCCTAAATAGCCGAAACCCAACATGAAAATAAGAATAAAAAACCTCAAAATCCAACAGTAACCCCACTCCTTATCTTTCTCTAAACAGTCAGTCATACCTGTCGCCTTCAATTGCGACTTTTACACCCATCACTTACGAAATTCATCTCTCTCCCTCTCGTAGTATATTTAAAGTTTAGGTTTTTATTTTTCAAAATGACTTCTTCTTCTTCTAACAAGGAGACGACGGAGGAGGAGCAGCCTGCGCCGGAGATTTCGCCTGCCGAAGGTGGTGGAGGTGCTAGTAGTGGAGGAGTGGGGAAGGCTGATCCTGTCAGTAGTGGTTGTGAGGAAGAGAGTGGTGTTGCTGGTGAGAAAGTCGACGATCCAATGGAGGAGGACGCAGTGAGTCCAACTACTGTGTTTTGTATTAGGCTGAAACAGCCACGGTCTCAGTTGCAGCATAAAATGAGTGTGCCTGAGCTTTGTCGCCAATTTAGGTAAAGTTCTTGATGGATAAAGCAGGGTTTTTCATTCTAATTTGATTGATTTTTGGCTGTTTAGGGTTTGAATTTGTCTTTTTTAACTGAAATTCGTTGTGGGTTTGGACTGGCTTCTATTAAGTGGAATTTGAGCTTCTTTTAGACTAATGGAGTGATTTGTGTGATAGTTTTGAGGGTTCTTCAAAGTATTTTTGAAATATGACCAAGTTCCTAGTTCTGGAAGTGAATTTTGGATGAATTCTGTTTTTGAATAAAGATTATGCTTTCCAAGTGAATTTTGATGGGATTTGAGGTGTTTTTTTTAGCTCATAGATGGTGCGATTATGGGTTCTTTTATGGTTGGGATTGAGATTCCTTTGCAAAAATTTCAGTGGTGTGATTATGTTAAGTTAGGTTTTTTTTTTTTTTCAATGGTGCAACTTTTTTTTATTCAGTCCTTCAAGAGAATTGTGTTTGTGTGCAGAAGAAGTTGTTGATTTTAAGCGGAATTCGGTGGAGGTTATGATTTTTAGTCAATTGATTGGAGTGTGGGCTGTTCTTTTTGTGGAAATTGTGTTTTCTCTTCTGCAATTTGAGTTTAGTATGTTTGGTTTTGGTTATTTTACTTTTCAAAATGTTATGGAATTTGAGTTTCTTATTTGTTTTAATCTCTAGGCATTAATGGTTTTTGCATCTAATCTTTAGATTTCCTGGAGTCCTCGAATTACTAATTTATGCTTTGATTTTGTTGGTTTTGATGCTACCTAGTGTGGGAAGTTGAAGTGAGTTTAGGATGAACGAGAAATGAAGTTTGAGAAAACAGGAGAGAGAAAGAGAGTTTTACAAATGATTAGTGGATGTATACAGGATACAATGAAGTTGATGAAGTGCTGTCAATTAAGAGCTATATCATCGAGTTATTCAGTGTATGCTAGATATAAGCTTTCTGTTGGCTGTTGTTAAATATCGACAATCACAATCTTTGCACCTGTATTAGGGTGATTAATCTTTTTATTTCTGAGATGCCTAGTGTGAGTATGACATTTTTTAGCACAGAAAATAAGGCGGACTATTTGCATTGCCACCAAACAATCTGCCACAGGGGGAAAAAGTAGAACAGAAGGTAGTGCAAGAGGAGATCGTAGATTTCACTTGGAGATTTTTTGATGCATCCTTACTAGTTGCTACCATAGTATATCACTCTTACATTCAATGGCTGTTCTCATCTATTTTAAACTTGAAACCTGATGCCATTACAACCATCACATACCTGTAGCCAAATGCAGTTGATATGAGAAATCGTGATTGTTAGAATATGATACTCCTAGTATAGATATTGAGATTCTAGTAATGGCTGTCTTAAAAGTAAATGAGGTGTCGCTATTTCAAGCATCTTTCCTTGTACATTAAAATTCTTTTATTGATCTTTGCCAAATTTTTATTTTAACGTTTGTTTTTTCAGTGCTGTTGCTTGGTGTGGCAAGTTGAATGCTATAGCTTGTGCATCAGAAACTTGTGCTAGAATTCCAAGGTCAGTGGATTTTTGCACTTCTAATGTGTTTCAGTCTAATAAGGAGAGCATATGCTTGACATAGTTGTTAATCAGGCTTACAACTTTCAAATGTGCTTGAGAACAAATGTTAAAGCATAGCGATGTTTGTTATTGTTTACTATTTAGGGTTCTTCTAATAGGAAAATAAGCTTGTGGCTAGTGTTCATCAATTTAGATTTTGATATCATCTTTCACTATATATTTTTTTGCAGCTCCAACGCAAACCCGCCGTTTTGGATCCCCATTCATGTTGTTATCCCTGAGAGACCAACTGAATGTGCTGTTTTCAATGTCATAGCAGGTATTTTGAGTCACCTTGCATCTTTTACCTTATCTTCCAATTTTTTAATTTTAATTAGTTATTATGTATGCAGAAATACGCCTATTCTATGTTAGATTTTCCATTGATATATTGGTTCCCTCATGTATTGGGCTCTAATTTCTTAAATCACGAGCTATTGCATTGAATCCCTTGGCAGATTCTCCTCGTGATTCTGTTCAGTTTATTGAATGGTCCCCTACTTCTTCCTCTCGTGCATTATTAATTGCTAATTTCCATGGAAGGACAACTATCTGGACTCAGCCTTCTCAAGTAAGCTAACTTGATGGATTTTTGTACCCAAATATATAATAAAAAGATGCCTTGTTCCTCTCACTAATGCTTAACTAAGGTTTTCATGTTTTACTCATCTCAAGAGTTTTGGGCTGGCCCTGCATTGGTTTTTACTCTTTGCTTTCTCCGTGTTTATGGCATGCCACTTGCTTAGAATTTTAAAAACTTGTCTTGCTTATTTTTTATCTTGTCATACAGGGTCCATCTAATTTGGTACGCGATGCTAGCTGTTGGCAGTGTGAGCATGAATGGCGGCAGGATATTGCAGTTGTTACTAAATGGCTATCCGGTGTCTCTCCAGTATGTGGTTATTATGTTTTCTGTTATCTGATTCTGAAATTATCCATGTATTTCACTTTGCATATGTTAGAGAATAATATAAATCATATCTTAGGGCCTTATCTAACAACTTAAGCTATTGGGTTGAAATGATTTTTTGACATGTTATCGTTTTGATGACCAAGTGATCACGAGTTTGAATCTTATCACCTCTATTTATTTGATAAAAATTAAGCACAAGATAGTGTGAGCCAAGTTTCAAGCCCAATGGGCTTTCACTTGAGAGAGTATGTTAGAGAATAATATAAATCATATCTTGGGACCTCATCCAACAGCTTAAGCTATTGGGTTGAGATGGTTCTTTGACAACATATATGTGGTAGTAATTTGGTATTCATCTGTGCTTTTCAGTTTCTTGGTTAATCTATGTTTGTTTTCAAGTTGTGTTGGTATTTGGTTATACTTTCATTGTAGTATGACTTCTCTTAAAAAATCAGTACAGGTGGCTTTCGTCAAAGTCTAGTACTTCCACAAGCTCAAAGTCAGCTTTTGAGGAAAAATTTCTTTCACAGCAGTCTCAAACTTCAGGTTTGTTTGCTTGATTTCTCTTTGTAAGCATTTTTAGAAGCTCATGTGGGAGCTTTAGGACTGGTTCTATTTTTAACAAGTAATGTGTGAAATTGGGGCCATGCCTTTTGACTAGCAACTTTACATCCAATGAGTTAGATTATTTTGCTGTTGCTTTGAGAAAAACAGGTCAGATTTTTTTGAATAGCTGTAAATTTAGAATAGTAATTTGGCTGTAGTTTCTGCAATGCTTTTATTCATAATTACATCCATGGCTAACTACTGTATCGTGAATGCTTTTAGAACGATGCAACGAATGACAAGCATAAAAACTTTTAAGTGAGAAATTTTAATATCTGCCATTTTTTTTTTATTCGAATGAACTAGTGCTTTTAACAACCTTTAGATGGCTGCTGCTAATGCTAAGTATTGCAAAAATGGTGATGATACTTTTGGTCATCTGTTCTTTCCACTGTTGAAAACTTCCACCTGACTGATGTAACAGCATCAAGACCATCACTGACGTGCTTTCTCAATTTCTTACAGTTCGATGGCCAAATTTCCTTTGTGTTTGTTCTGTTTTCTCATCGGGTTCTGTTCAACTTCATTGGTCTGGTAGCCAGAATAATACACCACCAAAGTGGTTTTGCACGAGCAAAGGACTCTTGGGTGCTGGCCCTAGTGGGATTATGGCTGCTGATGCTATTATAACAGACAGTGGCGCAATGCATGTTGCAGGTGTTCCAATTGTCAATCCTTCAACTGTTGTTGTTTGGGAGGTTACTCCTGGCCCTGGAAATGGATTTCAAGCAACTCCAATGGCAAGTGTTGGCGATGGGGTCCCACCTTCAGTTAAGCCACCCAATTGGTCAGGTTTTGCTCCTCTGGCTGCATATTTATTCAGCTTGCAAGAGCATCTGATGTCTGAAGTAAAGCAAGGGAAAAAGCAGATGGATGAAGATTTCACAAACACCATCACACTACATTGTTCGCCAGTTTCAAATTTTTCTGCATATGTGAGTCCTGAGGCCGCAGCTCAATCTGCAGCAACTACTACCTGGGGTTCTGGAGTCAGTGCTGTTGCTTTTGATCCAACTCGTGGTGGCTCCGTGATTGCAGTTGTTATAGTTGAGGGTACCAATCAGTATTCTGACTTGCAATTTTAGTTTTTGCCAGTTCCATGTTTTTCCATAAGAACTCCTCTTTTAGCGTGTGTATGTGTTTGTGTATGTTTATATGATTGGTGTGATTATGCTTGTGCAACTGTTTCCTGGGCTCTCTTTCTTTCTCCACTTAAATTTATCCTTGTACTAATAGAGAGATGCGAGGCCTAACTTTCATGTTTGAGTCAGTTGAAAGAGATGTGAGGCCTAACTTTCATGGTTTGATTTGGTTGAATATCCCTTTATCTGCCTACAGTTATCTGGATTCCATATGTCAATAACTGATTTTACACACGCAGGACAGTATATGTCCCCTTATGATCCAGATGAGGGTCCTTTAATCACAGGTTGGAGGGTGCAACGCTGGGAATCATCTGTTCAACCTGTAGTTCTTCATCCAATATTTGGAAATCCCACTTCTGGTTTTGGTGGGCAGGCACCCATGCAAACTGTATGGGTGTCCAAAGTGGATACAAGCATACCTCCAACAAATGATTTCAAAAATTACCAACCAGCTGCTGCAGGACCAATCTCTGATGTGAGAAAGGCATCTGATTCTGGTGCTGAGAAGACAAAGAGAGTCATCTTTGATCCCTCTGATCTGCCCAGTGATGTTAGAACACTTACTCGAATTGTTTATTCTGCTCATGGTGGCGAGATTGCTGTTGCTTTTCTAGGGGGTGGAGTTCACATTTTCTCTGGGACAAACTTCACACTAGTTGACAACCTCCAGATTAATGTTGGATCTACAATTGCTGCTCCTGCCTTCTCTTCCACAAGCTGCTGCTCAGCTTCAGTTTGGCATGACACTAGTAAGGATCGCACTGTATTGAAGATAATTCGTGTTCTTCCTCCTGCTGTTCCAAGCAGTCAGGTGAAGGCTAGCTCAGCAATCTGGGAACGTGCTATTGCTGAGAGGTATGTGGCAAGAGTCATTTGTTGGGAAATACTTTGGAAGTCCGCATATTAGTGGTTATGGACATTTCCTTTGGCTAAAAATTAGATGAAGGTTCAATTTGCAGATAATCTCGACACTCTAAATGGTCACACTGATATTGAGTTTTGCCAGAGCAGGTTTTGGTGGAGCCTTTTGGTTGGAGTTGATTGGTGGGATGCTGTTGGCTGTACACAGAGTGCTGCTGAGGATGGCATTGGTAAGAATAATTAGATTCTCTGGTATTGTGGTTTATGAAAAAGAAAATATATTGATGAACAATGTCTTTTCAAGGATTCCTATTTAAGATTTCCTTGCAAATAACACAATTACTTGGGTGACATTCTCTGCTGATCTGGTTCTTTGTTTCCTTTCAGTTTCACTTAACAGTGTGATTGCTGTCTTGGATGCGGATTTTCATTCTCTTCCCACTTCACAGCACAGACAGCAGTATGGTCCTGTATGTTTTTCTGCACTATTTCTATTGCACCACTATTTCTTTTAAGATAATCTATGATTATGATAATTGGAATGACAATATTGAACAAAGGCATCTAATATTTTTATAATTGCAGTTCATTTGCCTGAAATTTCCCATGTCAAAATCTTTTTGTTATTTGTTTGGAAATAGTCTGCAATGGCAGTCTTTATTTTCCCTTTCCTTTTCTTTTTCAAAATCAATTATAATTTCTGGAGTGATCAAGGGCATCTAGAATAATGGACTTGCAGAATAGTTGACGTGGACTGGATGTAATGGGTTGTGGAAATTGTGGTGGGTAGAAACTTAGAAATTTACTATGCCCTCTGTGGATCCTCAAGTTAGAGTTCTTAAAACCAGAAAAAAAGAGGAATATGCAAAGCTGCAAATATGAAAATTACATTTAGTGATCATCTGCTTCTAACCAAATAAACTATGTTCTTACATAAGGTGTGGCATGTAACATGTGTTATGAGCACACAGTTTATTGTGGCACGTTATGACCCAAAAATGCCACGCAAGACTGAATCACAATCAAATAAGGAAACAAGATATGCTAACATACCTTAATTCTGATTTCTCTTAATTAACTGATTGCACACGTACCTTTTCCTTTAAGTTTGTTGTGACAATTCAAAGCACATGTGACTACCTGTCCCAGGTTCTAGAATGCCCTGGTTGGGTAAGGTAAACTTGTGTTTTTTAATGATGCAGAGTCTGGACAGAATAAAATGTAGACTGCTGGAAGGTACAAATGCTCAGGAGGTTAGGGCAATGGTTCTTGACATGCAAGCTAGGTTGCTGCTTGATATGTTGGGCAGAGGCATTGAGTCAGCTTTGATAAATCCTTCAGCATTAGTACCTGAACCATGGCAGGCTTCTGGTGAGACATTATCTGGCATCGACCCTGAAGCAATGACAGTTGAGCCAAACCTTGTTCCGAGTATTCAGGTATGCTTTTATCTCTTTATTGTCTCATGTTAAATTTTGGTTCCTTTTGACGTTGTGAGTGTAGTACTGAAGATCTACTGATACCCCCAATGCGATGTGGTGCTTATATTTCTACATGCTAATGATAAACCTGATAATTTCAATGTGTTAATGATGGTTGCATTGCTTGGGCCATACAATGGCCTTTTATGGCCTAGAATCTGATTCCTGAACCAACAATATATTTGTCACCTTCTAGGCTTGCCAGTTTGCTGTATCCAAGCTCTCAGATTGTGCTTGTTGAATATTTCCCTGCCTTCAGTCAGCTCAAACATCTGTCCTATGTTGATGCAGGTTTACTGATTTGATGATTTTCTCTAACCATGAGAATTTCATGCAGGCTTATGTTGATGCAGTTCTTGATCTAGCTTCACATTTTATCACACGTCTACGGCGTTATGCAAGTTTCTGTCGCACACTGGCTAGTCATGCTGTTACAGCAGGCACATGCAGTAACCGCAATATGGTGACTAGTCCTACTCAAAGTTCAGCATCTCCTGCGCCAAGTCAGGGTCAGTATGCAGTGTCTAGTGTTCTGATACATAAAGGGGAGACCTTTATTCAATAATTTGTGTTTACTAAAGTTATGCGGTGTTGACATCAAAAGCTGGTGAAGTGCCTGCGATTTCATCTTTACTGATTAAGAGGTTACTGCCACAGTTGCTGGGGGAATAATGTCTCCAGAAGATCTTGTATATTTCTTCTCTCTTCTGCTCTATGTGGGTTATTGTGATCAACACTGTTTTTTATTACATTTTCTTCAGGTGGTCAAAATGGCTCTACAAGTTCCACTGGAAGCACTCAGATGCAAGCTTGGGTTCAAGGTGCCATTGCTAAGATTAGTAGCACGACTGATGGAGTGACCGGTTCAACACCGAATCCCATAAGTGGTCCATCTTCCGTTATGCCGATAAGCATTAACACTGGAACTTTTCCTGGAACTCCAGCAGTTAGGCTCATTGGTGACTGCCATTTCCTCCGCAGATTATGCCAGCTCCTGCTTTTCTGTTTTTTCTTTCGGCGAACTCAACTTCCTCGCTTTGTCGGAAGTGCACAGAGAAATTCAACTGATACAAATGTGCAAAAACCTCAGTCTGGTGCTCCTGGCAAAGTGGAGGAGATCAACACTGTTTCTTCAAAGCCAGCACCAGCGATGGTCAGGTCTGATGAAGGTCAGACAGTTCAAGGTGGTCAAGTAATGCCTGGAGCTAAACCAGTCGAAGATGGACCTGCTGGGAGGCACAGAGTAGGCAGTGGCAATGCCGGCCAAGGATACAGTTTTGAAGAGGTACATACTGGTGCTCTTAATTCCTTCTAGGCTTCACATGTTATGAACAATCTTCATTAGATTTTTGGTTGTCTGTCTGGCTAAATATATTCTTTCTGGTGTACGAATGGAGAAAAGGCTGCTTAACTTCCATGACAATCACTGCTTTGGGCATCCAAAAAGCTTCTGATAATTCTATTGGTTAAGGAATTAATTAATCAATCAGCAGAGGTGCCCTTGTGCCCTAGATTCAGATAAAGGCTCATTCATTGCCTCGTGCAGGTGAAGGTCCTTTTCCGCATTCTCATGGATCTTTGTCGGCGAACAGCAACTCTGGCACACCCATTGCCAGTTTCTCAAGTAGGAAGTAGCAATATCCAAGTGCGGTTGCATTATATTGATGGCAATTATACAGTATTGCCAGAGGTTGTAGAAGCATCTCTTGGCCCACATATGCAGGTATCCATGCTTATGATTTAATCTTGTAAATGACCCTAAGGAGGTTTCAAAGTAATTTTTTTTTCCCTTTTTCATATGGATAAACCTCCCCATGCTTTTCTTTCTTCCCTTTCTTGAAAACACGACTGTTTTGTTGACTTTATGTTAAATTTTGTTATGAAATCCACAGAACATGCCACGGCCTAGAGGTGCAGATGCTGCTGGTCTGTTACTACGAGAGTTAGAACTCCACCCTCCATCTGAAGAGTGGCACAGGCGCAACATGTTTGGTGGACCCTGGTCTGATGCTGAGGATATGGGTTCAGATGATACTCTGAAGCTTAACTCAGATCCACTTGATTTCAGCTCACTCGAAAACTGTGATGTTTATTACGGTGCTCATGGCTTATGGCCAAGGAAGCGCAGACTGTCTGAAAGAGATGCAGCTTTTGGCTTGAACACTTCTGTTGGCCTGGGAGCTTATCTTGGCATAATGGGATCTCGAAGAGATGTTGTTACTGCGATGTGGAAGACTGGTCTTGAAGGTGTTTGGTACAAGGTCTCTCTCCATTTTTCTCCTCTCTTTCTGATTTGAAATTTTCTGCTATTCAGCCTTCTTGTTCTGGAGGATCACAGAATTCAAAAGAAAATTCAATTTTATGTCATTGGTAGGTTTTAAGTCGAGTGTCTCAAATAAGGTACTCAACACAATTAAGCCTTGAATTGAATTTAGTTGTGGCAAGCTATGAGAAGTTATTCCCCTGCTCTGCCCTAGTTACTGCCATATCCACAGTGTGCTTAAAACTCAATTTCTTGTAATACCTACTTAGTTGTACCCTAATCCTGTTCGCTGCACCCAAGAGTGTTCATAGTACATGGATAGTCCCACCAAGGAATTCCTCGAGTTATGAATCTCTTTCTTTGGTAAGCATGAAGTGGAAGACATCTAGTTGGCTGTAAATGCATCGTGCAATTTAATTTCTGTCCAAGTGCGTCTTTTGTTAAGGAAACCAACAATCATCCCTCTGCATCATCTTTTTTCTTATCTTTAATGATGTATCATTATTGGACATGCATAGTCTGTAAATCCACTCTAATATGGATGTTTCTTTAGAGGTTTGGTATTAATGACATCATTGGAGATATATGATGGTGTTGAATTGATATTGGCAGCTGAAAAATGCTCATAGATAATCCGTGAGAGGTAATCCCCAACTCACATAAAAGTAGGACCCACCATGATAATCACTCGCGGTTCCCACTTTAATGTGAGTGAAGGAGTAGTACTCCTGTATCTCTTCTTGGACATGGGAATGAAGAGTCAAGAGGTGATCATTAGGTTTTTGTTTTTGTGGTTCATAAGATAGGAATGATCTGACGTTCTTTTTAATTTAATTCTGGTTCTATGGAATGAAACATACGAACTGTTTAGCTTATGACAAGGTATCTTTTTCTTGCATAATATGTTCCTACCTGAGATAGCATACTTTATCCATACTCTTTTTTTTTTTTTCTTTTACCATATCACCAATCTTATGTTTATTTTGTTGCCAATTCCATTCCTTGCTCGGCATGTGTTTCTACGTAACATCATTGCTATTAATGCAGTGTATAAGATGTTTGCGGCAGACTTCAGCATTTGCTTCCACAGGTGCTGCGGCACCTAACCAAAATGAAAGAGAGGCTTGGTGGATCAGCCGTTGGGCTTATGGCTGTCCGATGTGTGGGGGTACATGGGTTCGAGTTGTATAGATGAGACTGCAATTACAAATGTTAACTAGATGCGCCTCTTTCTATTTCTTGACAATCAATTCAAGGCTGTGCGTGCGTAACTTAGCTGATTCTTGACTGCTAAGCAGAAGATGATGCAGACTTGGGGGCATTTGTAGGTGAAAAAATAAAACCCTTTCGATAGTATATGATGTGTTTCTTTTTCTAGTTGCTGGTTGGAGCTTGGAAGTTAAAAAGAGGACCGTAGCCCTACAAGATTGGAAATTCAACCGTGATCCAAGATGGGGAGGCAAAACTACTTCGCATATTTCCTCTGCATCAACTATCTGGTGTTTATTTTAAGGTATTCAGCTCGACTGCAATATTTTTGGAAGGATGGATGGGAAGGCTTCGGGGTATGTTGCAGGGCAGCTCCATTAGTGATGGTTCCCACTACTTCCATAACATATGCTTAATAATGAAATACAAGTAGAGATAATGACAATTGATCAGGATAGGGATTTTTATTTGTAAATACAACAGATCCAGGTTTACTAGGTACAACATTCATCATTTAGTTTGGATCCCATGGTTTCAAGTTGCAGCTTCATCTAAGAAAAACTAAATTATTTTTAACAGAACAAAAGTTGTCGTTGATCTTGCCTTCTTGTTAATGTAAAAGATGTATGTAACAGCTGAAAGCTTATAAACCGTAGCATTTTGAATTAGTTATCAAATGTTGCATTGGTTGAACATTATATGTAGGAGTACAAAACTTGAGGTTTAGGAGAGGGAGCTTTTCGTGTATTTGCATTACAATTTTATCTACTCTTAGTTGAATTTAAATGGATGATAATTCCAAGTGCTCAAACTTTTATGAAGTAGGTTCAAAATTATTTGGTTATTGTATTGGACAGAAAAGACGGAAAAAAAGAAGATATGAAATAGGTTTTATTGTATTTACTTTTGTTTTACATATCTTAGTAGGATAAGTTTGCAATTAGAAGTTTTTTATATGAATATTTTAGAAATAAAAAATAAAAAATATTATATATGAAACATGTCTTTTATGTACTCTATATTTCTAAATTATATTAATTTATTTATAAATTATACCAATATAAATTTATTTTTATATATTAACTATAATTAAAACTGATAAGTGGTTAACTATAGTACAGAATTCATTGTGAATTGTATTGTTCTACACTGCAGCAGCTTTTTGAATGCTTTCATTGTGAATTGTGAGAGCTTTTACTGTTAACTGAAGCTGTAGGCAACAGCTTCAAGTGCCAGGTTGAAGGCGTGTTCACTGGGGATGCTGACATCTAGCGCTTGGCTGCAGGCATGGTGGTGGGCAGGTCGTGCCCTAGACCGCAGCCACCTGGCACCTGGCACGCAGTCTGCCCATCCTTGGGCACTTCGACTGCCTCTTTAATGTTGGGCAGATCAAGTAGTCCTTGAGCTAATACCTGTGAGAAATATTATTATTTTTATTATAATTAATAAAATAATTAATAACTTTGAAAGAAAATATCATTATTAATATTTAATATTGAAAATATATTATTATTATTTTTATATTATAAATTTTTATGATATTTTTTTATAAAAATAAAAAGTAAGCTCCCGCAGTATTACTAAAATTATTCTCGAAGTATTAATTTTGTTTTGCTCGATGCTCTAAATATGTGGCTCAATAGATGGTTATTCAAACAGCCAATTTGGAAAAAATTACCAAAAAGTTCTATTAGGTTAAATTGAATCGTTGGTCTTCTTTAGCCCTATCCAAATTTGGGAATCACTGCATGTGTATTTCTGCCTTTATTATATATCGAAATGCATTTGTTAGCATCTAGCTTCTAATGAGATTTTGTTTTTCCGAAGTAATTTCTATCCTTGGTAAATCATGTGCATGTAAAACATTGAATATGAGATCTGAATCTAGCGTTAGATTAGTTATCTTGTTCAACTAGTCACCTCCAGTTCATCATATGTGGACAGTTCAGGTTTAATGCATGATCTAATTGCTGCTATTATTAATCCTTGCATACTCGTTGGATCTCTCACTTGTTGCAGATATTCGAAGACATGAATCCTTATCTGTTTTCTGTGTTGTGAGGAGTCCACGGAGCAAAATGTGTTAATATGTCCATTCATCAATTTATACAGAAAGCCCTTGTTCAACTACCTTCGTGGACTATTTTTTGTCCCGTCTTGCAGCTGCTTCAATGACTTGCTGCTGTGCTTCACTACTAATCTCTCCATTCCCAGGAGCAAGGCCAGATGGATTACTGTAAGATGATTCCAGGATTGGGGGAGGAGTGCTGATATATAAAACATCTTTTGCAAGTAAGATGATTCCAGGATTGGGGGAGGAGTGCTGATATATAAAACATCTTTTGCAAGCATTTACTGTGATAATAAGAATTCAGCCATGGCGTTTTTCAGTTTTGAGATACTGAACTCATTTTATCGTGATTCATGAAACTCTACCTGTATCATTAAAGCTAGTTAGGCTTTCGAATCAGTGAATCTAATGATTTTAGATTGGATCTTTGGCATTCATTAATAATCTGCTTCAAGTACACGATCCACTATGCACGAATTGTAACCTAGGTGATGCCTAGGCATAAAATACGTGAAGATTGCTTCTGAATGGATTTAAGATTTGATTATAATGTTTGCATGAGAGAAAAAGTTGAGAAACACAGCACGTCGGTAATATAAACATGAAAACTGAAAATACAAAATGCAACAAAGCTTTAAACAAATTTTCTCAATAAAAGCCGATGATGGAAGCAAATCAAGGATAAGGAACATGTACAGGAAGCTGGAAACAAGAAAACTGAGAATTCAAAATCAATCTAAAAATCACTGCAGTCTTTGATTAGTTAGGCTGTTGAACCTCCCAAAGCCCAGTTGGCTTCACTTCCAACACGAGGCATGCTGCTAATCCTAGAGTGAACATCAACCTTGAAGCTAGCCCCACACATTGCTCCTTCACTGTCAATCCTCGGCATCGCTTTCATTTTGCTGCTTGGATGCTCAAAGCTCGTCAAGCCCTGTTCACTGTGGAACATGCACCCTGATGGAAATGGAGCAAATGATTTAGCACAGCTTCCTTTTATCACCTCCAAGTTGTCAGAAATCACCACTGACCCATCAGCTGCAATACCCCAGAATAGCCCAACACCTTCTTTTTCACCCTGCATTACAAACGCATGCAAAATTAATTCCCATTTTCCACAGTCATTAAACATAATTTCATCCGTTCTTTAAGAGTTTCTAGGCTTAAGCTTACCAGTGCAGCGAACACCTGTCCAGCCTTGGTATCGTAGACCACAAATCCAAACCTGCCATCCAGATCCTGAAGAACCTTGTGAGCTGGATATGGGCCACGGTCACGGAGGGTACGATATGCTTCAATGATAAACATAGCCTCGTTGGTGCACTTTGATAGCCCATACTGTTTATTGAGACTGCAGAGGTTGTTCAGGCTCCCCAAGAAAATGCAGTATATGCCATCCAGTCCACAGAGCAGCCTGCAAATCCGTTATGTTCAAGATCAGTTCACACGGGCTGCATTAAACTAGACAAAAACAAAGAGTGAAGACTGAAGATCAGATCGATATGTAATAATTTACCTCTGGTGTCTGGGGTAAGAATTTCCTGGTTGAATATAAGCAAGCAGTGCAGCATCTCCAAAGCTCAGCGAGAAAGCATTAGGAGGATTAGCAGAGACAAAATCCTTCACAATCTCCTCAGGAAGCTTTGGTTTTCTCGACGAACATAAGGAAGCTGGGCTGTACAGCTCCTGGGGTGGATTCACTAACCCTTTGTTGAATATTGCCAACATCTCTCTCTTCCTAGGTACCCTTAAATGCTAAAAAAAACCCAGAAATCTTTTTAAACAATGAGATTGAAAGCAGAAAAATAACAATGATGGGAATCTCAAGAGGATGCTAATGGTGGAAAATGAGTGAGGCTTGATTCTCTATATATAGTGCTAGGGGAGTGATGTGTGGCATAGCGTGGCAACATTATCCAAACTCGTGGATCCCACAAATGTTTTTCCAAAAAATATCTACTTTCGTTAAATGGATAAATAAAAAGATAATCCTTTCCTTAAATTTTGCACTAAGAATATTCAATGATTTAACTGAGGAAGAGCATGTGACCGGTGCGGCTGGTGACGCTCTTTTTACACGAGCACATAGTATAAAAAATTTATGAAACGAGGGAATGGGTCTTTGTCTTATCCAGATAAGGTGAGCTGACGCCGACAGAGAAATGAGTCGGCAAAATGAGGCAAGTGGCTAAAAAACGCGTGTCATGTCTGGATTGCGTCTGAATCAACCAGCTCCAAACCAGACCGGTAGTTGTGTCAAGCAACTCTAACCCAGACCGGTGGTTGACAGCTCTAATTAATTTTGTCATTATAAAGAAAGGAAAAAATAAATCAAGAGAAAGAACATTAACCCAAGCATTGGGTTAAAAGAAGAGAAATAATCTTTAATTAGTTTTTTTTATTCTCTTCCTTGCAATGCCCAGGTGTGCTGGGCATAGGCCCGTGCATCTCGATTCTTTTTTTGTTTTTTAAATTTTATATTAAATTAAATATAAATTTAAATAAAAAAATTATTTCACTCTATTAAGTTCATGGTTATAATTGTAGGCTCAAGGGGTTACATCACAATGCTTAAGTATTATTATTATTATTATTTTATTATTTTAATTGGTATATTTTTAAAAATAATTTTGTAATTTATATTTCAATTAAAAAAATATGATTTTTGAAAAAATATAAAAAACAAATAGGGGTAAAAAATGTATATGATAACTACCTTTTCTATACAATAATTACAATATAAAGTCATTGAAAAATTTAATTTCTTTTGATTTTGTTTATAAAAATAAATAGCACCATATATTTTTTTTAAAAAAATAAAACAATCTCTTCAAAAGATGACTACCTTCAAAATAATTTTAAAAATCAAAACAAGTCTAATTGAGAGGAGACTACTCTTACAAAAATCAAAAATCAAAATAAATCTCATCGTGAGGTAACTAATTTCAAAGTAATCAAAATAAACACAATCTTATCAGGAGACGACTACCTTCATTATTAAATAATCAAATAAATAGTCTCATTAAAAGACGATTATCTTAATAATCAAATAGTTTTATTGAAAATGATTATCCTAAACAACAAACATAGTTTTATCGATAGGTGACTATCCTTATACCAAATAATCAAATAAATAGTCTCACTAAAATGTAATTACCCTAATAATTAAATAGTTTCATTAAAAGATGACCACCCTAAAAAAAAATAAAACAAACATAGTCTTATTGCGAACAACTACCCTTCTAACCATATAATAAAACATAGTTTTATTGGGAGGCAATTTCTCTTATATCCATTAAACAAATAGCCTAATTGGAGGTCAACTATCCTTTAATCAAATAGTCTTGGAGGTAACTACCATTTTGGTTTTAAATCCTTTTCTACTTTTGGTTCTCATATTCTTTATTGTCAACTCTACTATTTAAAAATATCTAACTTGAGACCCATCAACTTGGATTGCCCTCATGTCTTCTTATTATAATCGAGTTTTTTTTATTAATTTAGTAAACTCATGTATATTTTGCTCATCCTGTTTTTTTTTATCAATTGCAATTAAATTTTCATTGAAATTCAGCCAAATATTTTTAAAGTAATTATTTTATATGTTTAGATAATGGTCATTTTGAATATTTCTATAAACATGTAGTGCAAATAAAAAGAAAGAAAAGAAAGAAAGCAAACAAGATGTGCAAAGAAATTAATTGCATAAACTTTTATTAATATTAAATGAATAAAACTTAAGCTAATAAAAAAAGTTATTTCCAGCATTATTAGCCAGATTTATTAAAAATACAACTGTGTAAAAAAACTACTTAAAAATAATAGAGATTTATTTGGTGAACCAATTATTAAGTTTCTCAACATTTGAATATTTTCTGATAAGTGAAGTTATATCTATTTCTTCACTCAATGCACTGATGGTTAGTTATGAGAGAGTTGATATTTGTTGAGGTAGCTACACGAAACTTCACTATATTTTTGGTATCATATTCTGATGAAGTGCTAACTGTTATATCTTGAATCATTTGATTAAACTCATATCTTTTTTTGATCGATTAATAATGTATATAGAGGGGAAAGGTGTCGTGAATATAAAGAATATACATCTTTTTATCATTAGGTTCATGCTCCTTCATCCAAGTTATTCTTTTCTCCCCTTTTAACTTCATCATCCTCTGATAGTCCTTATAGTTAGGTTTAATACCTAAACCAAAACATTAATCTGTATCCTTTAACTTCATATAATGTATACCCTTTCTAGTAGCCCAATTTCTAATATAAGAACAGGTAGTATGTCATGCTTGACCATGCATTTTGTAGCCAACCTTGTAGTTTTAGATAATGCACAATATTTTTTATCTTATTGTCTGGAATTAGGCCTATATTGGTAACATCAAAAGTATACAGATCCATATTTTTAACACCTAATAATTCAATGCATAACACTGTCATATTCTTCATTACTATCAAGGTTTCCTCAATCTTCATGATAACTAATCTTCTATTTGCAATATATTTAAACCTCTAATGTAAAAAAAATATGATAGCTCATGGCAAATGAATCCAAGTTCTTTTCAACAACATATTATAGTTTGGTTGGGTGTCTTTCACTTGTAAAGTGATTTGGAATTGTTGAGGTTCAATCTCCAAAACAATTTCAATATCACCATTAACCTACTTTGGTGTCCAATTATAAACTTAAGCTATCATCTTACTAGATTGCATATGAGACACCTCAACCGACAACCTTTCAAATATACACTTTAGAAGGATATTAATAGATGACCCAATATCATTCAAAATCTTAGCAATCATATAATCCTTGTACTTGATTATGATAATATCAACTTGGGTGGGCCATTCTTGTAAGATGGGCATCGATAAGAAGTAAACTCTACCTTTTCAATAGATAATATACCAATCTCTCATGCTTCTTTATATTTATTAGTCATAAGGGCACTAAGCATTATTAAGATCTAAACCTATTGATGGAACTTTTCACAATCATCAATATCATGCCCCTAACTTAAATATTTTGTATGCAGTTTATATTATGTTTTTTTCATATTGCTAACATAGCCGGTGAATTTCAATATATCAAACAATGTTGTTATTGATATCTTTATAACTGTTTTATCATGATTAATCATTGTATCTTCAAATACCAATATATTCACACTCCTATTATTTTAGCCTATATGATTTGGAAGAGTGTTGATATTTATATTAGGTAAATTTAAGTCTCATTCAAAAGCTAACAACCTATATTTACTAAGCAACTCATCCCATTTCTTAATGCATTGTAAGTCACAATGCTATAGCCTATCATCATTAGATGATAATCACATTTCTCCTTTAGCTTGTACCGACATGGGTAAGGTGGTTAACTATAGAGTAGGGTATTGCTGCTTGTTGATAAAGTGGTAACACTAATAGAGAATAATGAGCTTTCAGGAATTAGATATCCAATGACATTCCAAGAAACCCAACATTGATTACAACCTTCAATTAAGTACTCCCCATCTAACTTGGGTGAAGGCTTGATGGTATTTTTGATGTTATAGGAGCTATGCAAATGTGTTGTTAAGTATGTATTTCTAAAGCATTCTTTTTGGAGGTTCCTTTCCTAAATGCCTTATTTATAGGCATGCTAAAGCAAACTAGTGAGCTTATATATCTTACTCCTTATCTGTTTTATTTTCTTATGGTAATTTTTCACTTGGAGAATTTTTTTTTCTCTATTCTTATTCTCATTCTAATGTTATAAGTACACAAAAGAAAATTTGACATTTTAAGGATGAGATATGTTTTATCATTTGTTAATGAATGAATGAACACATGAATATGCATACCAAAAATTAGATAATAAAATGGATGACAAAGGTTGTAAAAATTATCAATATTATTTAAGAGTTATTTCTAATTTATAGTCTTTTAGAGGGCAAACTTTCTTTTCTGATTTTGACATAATCATTATTCAAACTTCATCGCAAGAGAGTATTTTTGATATATATCGATTCATAAAATTAAACTATTAAAACATATTAATCCATTTATTTTAAGAATAAAACTTGAAAACTTTCATTCATTTAAAGATGTCAGAAATAATTTAATATAATATCCATATATTTTTGGAAGATGATTTGTTACCTTTTTTCTTCTTAAAATATGAAAATAAAATTTAATTATTAACCCATATGTTTTGAGAGGAAAATACTTAACATCTAATATGTTAAAAAGTATGAAAATATATAAAAATAGTTAACTAATAAAATTGACTACTCATGACCATACACTTTATAAACTCTACCACATTTATATATTTATTCTAAAAAATCTTGACATTATGCTAGGTAGATCCTGAAATCTTGGATCTATATCATAGCTCTTAATTGGCAATGTGGTGAGCAAGGACTTGCAGTCTATTAGATATTATAGATGCACCTATTACTTAGCTAATTATATGTTTTAGATTTACTAAATTTGTATAATTAGCCTTAATCAAGACATCAGTGAGGTCCATCTAGTACTTTAGTTGCTCTTATTATTGGCATTGAAGTTCTTCATTGTTTCTTTTAAGCTTGGTTACATCACTATGAACATGCTTTTATAGTGTTATGAGTTGACTTATTCTTTTATGGTAAAACAATTTGCTTTTTAAATCTCATTATTAACATTTTATGCTTCATCGAGTTTGTTCTTTAGTATCTTCATCTTTTCCCTTATAATTTCTAATTCTTCTTTAGCCTGAACTCTAGGTAGTTTTCCCACTCCCATGTCAACCTCTAGCTTTTGGCACTTGAACCATAATTACTCTATGGTAACATTTTTATCTTCTTCACCTAACTTTCTCTTTTTACTTTCTAACTCAATTTTTTCATCCATGCCTGAAATGTCTATCTTTTATAGCCTTTTAACATTTATTTTCATTTTAATGGAATTTAATGTAGCCATCCTAATTATGATATAAGGTAAGCAATTGCTCACTCTATTTTAGAACCATTACATGAAAAATTCAGAAATCAAAGGTCCATACTCGAGCACTACTTGTTCAACCAATCCTCAAGTCATCTAGTCCTGTTTAATTTGTTTCAACATAACAAACAAGGTCATATATTTATGACTACCTCACAATTGAGCAAGGTCCGTAGCTCTTGAAAGACATTATTATTACCCCAATTTCCGCGCAACATAAAAGGCACAAGATTAAAATATCCAATTGCCCTAATCAAATGAACATATAATTGTTGTCCACAATAATCCATATATGATTTTGAACTTGACCAAATTGCTTTCCATGTAAATAAAGTGGTCAATAATTTTATGGAATAGCTCAATCCACTTTTCTTTTGTAAATAATCACCAATTAATATTTATAAACTCCTATAAAGGTTTTTGGTTCACCTACTAATGTAATCTAAATATTAATTATCACATGATGATGTGACTAACCATCCAAATACATAAAAACTATACACAACAACACATAGTTTAAGATTAATCAAACTTGATGCTGAGAGAAATAACAGTAGTCTAAAAATACCTAATACCAATATCTGAGTCCTGTTAGTAAGCCATCTTGGTCTTTTAGCTTTTTATTGAATAAATCTTCTCATGTCTTCTAATGTTAACTTCTAGCGCCTAACTTCTCCTTTACTTTACCCATCTTTTCATTAGTATTCAAAAGCTTTGAAATCCTTCGAATGGCCATGTTGTGCTGATTATAGTAACAGACAATGTATACAAAATAAGGTATTTGTAGTAATTGATGATATTCTTCAATAGTGGGTACCATATCAATTGATTCAAAGGTGAAGCATTGATATGATGGGTCTTAAAATTATGTCATAATGGCTAGCTTTTAATAAGGTATCTTTAAAACGTTTTCCAAGTTTTCATACTTTTATCGAAATACATGTTTATCGTGGATCTCTAGGTTTTCTGAACATATCTAAAGTTTGTTGATTTTACTAATGAAGAGCACATACCTCATATAAGGTAAGTTACTAATTGATTTATGGCTTAGACAATCCTCCTTTTATGGTTGTAAAGATTCTGACTCTTGTTGGAACTACTCTTGATTATAGTTTATAATTTTGACTATTTTGTCACCTATTTCTAAAATATTATAATCATATTTTAATATTAAATTCTTGAATTCATATTATAAGGAGACAACCTAGAAAATGATTTTAGTCATTATATGTGGATAGGTTAACTAACATATTAATCTTCAAAGGATACCTTGTTGCTTAGGTAATCAAACTTAAAAAGGCAAACTCGAGGCCTAAAAGGTACATATAATATAAACAAGGAAAAACCTAATTAGCTATTAATTGTGACTATATAGACTTTCAAACAAGAGTATGAAGTTTCATTAGTGCTAGTATAAGGTATAACTTATTAGGGCACCACCAATTCTCCAATGCTAACTTAACCAAAGTATATAAAAAATAAAGTGTCATATAATGAATATAATGAAAACATGTGAGCAAACCAATATTTTGAGTTTATTAATTACTAGTAAAGGAAAATTCACAAATACCATACTACCCTGTAAACTAAAATTTCATTACCTTAATAGGCTAGTTAAAGATGAATAAAAAGGTTATGACAAAACCACAAATATAGATCAAAACATGGCGCAAAAAAAATAGAAAGTATCATGGTGCGTCATTCCTTTTTCCCTTCAATCAAACTACCTAGGCAATAGATTGCTATGAAAGATGTCTCTTCGTGTCTTGATGGGTCGTGCTTTAAGGATGGTTAAGGATCAATCACTCTAGCTCATTTTACTCTTTGCACTCTCTCTAAAATTGCATCATGCAACATGTCTAACTCCCCTCAGATTATCTGTGATAAATGGATAAAACCTCGAACAATGATTGGCAGAAACCTTAACAACACATTATGCAGAAAATTATGAGACACTCTCTCTCACACACACATAAAATGATAATATATTCAAAAGGTGTGAGTGTTTACATTAAATTTCAAAAGATGTATGGTTATAAAATAAAATACAGTTTAAAACTACAAAATGATAGAATGGAACAGCTAAATAGCAATAAATTAGCTTTTACAAATATGCCATGTTGAAGGGTACTTTTCAAAAGATAATTGTTATTTAATTATTCAATGATTACAATAAATATTTGTAAAGGTCTGAAATATTTAAATAGTGAAAGATAAAATGCATTTTTTAAGTTGAAGCCCTCATTTCCTACTTATGTAATTTTTTTTTTGAAGAAAAAAATATTTTTTTTATTAACAATGTTGTTTTCTAAATGTAAATCCAATATAATTAAAATGAGTATTTCTAAGAATCCAAGAAATTTAAATAATGAAATGAAAAAAAATATTTCTTGAAGTGATTATTTTTTAATAAAAACATATTGTTTTTATTAATAACATGCTTTTTAAGCAAAAACTCATCATGCTTAAAAACAAATATCATCATCATAATTTTTAGGTGACTACATACAAAAAAAAAAATCATTAAAACAATATAAAAATTAACAATCACAATATTGTTTAATTATCATTGAATATTAATGTGCGAATTCTTTTTTGCATATTAGTCTCATATATAATTGTTAAAAAGTGATTGAAAATATAAATATAAAATATCTAATTTAAATTAAAAAAAAGTGCTAGATTATTAGATTGCATTACTCTATTTTTTTAATGTAAAAAAGAATGTCCAGGCATTTTTTCTATGAAAAAATAATTTTATCATGAACTCAAAATATAATGTATGTTGAATGATAGTTTTTTAAACTATTAATACGGCTATATATTGTATGATATTAGTTTTTAAATATTGAAATGATGATATATTAGCTATATATTGTATGATATTAGTTTTTAAATATTGAAATGATGATATATTAGATCGATTTGAGTTAACCTGTAAAATATGCCACAAGTTGAGCAGAGGCATTTGCAGCTTTAGCATCCACGGAATTAACTATAGGATAATACTTCCTAGCTGACAGGTTATTGGTGTTAAAGCTCGTGCCCTGTTTATAAGCGAATTCCAAGAATCAAGATATAATGATACAATTGACCTATGTCGGTTGCTGTAGAGTGTAAATGGGACAGCTTTCTTGTTGTTCATATGGTAAACATAAGAGTTAATTGACTGGATCATCCAGTATACTAACCTTGAATTCCTTGTTATTTCCAAGGACAACATTGGATGGAAACTCCCGATCAATTGTGCTAGCCGCAACGGTGAGAACCCACGGGGCTACATTTGAAGCTGTTCCGAAGCCAAAGCCTTGTCCGGAGTTCCCAGCCGAGCAAACTACAAGAATTCCGTTCATAACAGCCTGAAAAGATCCAATTGCAATACCACTTCTGAAGTAAGGGATCTCAAGTGCCCTTCCAAGTGAAAGGGACAAAATGTCAACCCCATCTTGAATAGCAGCGTCGAAGGCAGCCAATATATCAGCATCATAGCATCTCGGCCAGCACACCTTGTATGAAGCAACTCGTGCATTAGGTGATCCTCCTTTTGCTGTCCCGTAGGCTGATCCTAGGAAATTGGCACCTGAAACAAAGCGACCACCAGCTGTAGATAGAGTGTGGGTACCATGACCATCAGTATCTCTTGCGGTGTTATTGGACGAATCAAGTGCACGGCCTAGAGCTGCTTCATAACCCTTGTTGAAGTACCTTGCTCCGATCAACTTCCTGTAAGTAATTACATTGATTTCTTTTTTTAGAACTTGTATCAACAAGCCTTTTTCACTGTTCTTAGCAATGTTAGAGAGCAGGCGAAGAAAGAAACCTGTTGCATTTAACCCCATCATTTGTTTCACAGTATCCTTTCCATTGCATTTAACCCCATCATAGAGCAGGCGAAGAAAGAAACCTGTTGCATTTAACCCCATCATTTGTTTCACAGTATCCTTTCCACCTTGTTGGAATTGGTCCCATTCCTTCATCGTCGAAGCTCTCTGATTCTGGCCAGACACCTATCAATAAACCACGAATTAATCAAGAGAGAAAATTAAGATTTTACACAAATAATAAGAAGAAAAAATGAAAATAAAAGTGGACCATTCAAAAGCAGTTGCCGACCAGTGGACAGCTTAATGAAACATTCTGAAGATGATGCACATTAAGGGCAGCCGCAACGAGGATTTAATATTAACGTTCTAGAGCTAATAAAATACATCAAGGGCATTCTTTATAGACCATTCAAAGCTGAAGCTCGCTTGTCCAAGTATGAAACAAAGCAGTAGTGATTATGAAACTAATAAAATACGCTTTTCCAAGTCAAACACAAGTAAGATTACCAGTGTCAAGATTTCCAATAATGACGTCTTCACCAAATCTTGCCTTTAACCAGATTGAATCAGCAGGGATTTGTCCATTTCTCTCTAGTCCAAGAAACTCCCATGACCGACTTGTATGCAACTGATTTACTTCATTTGGAAAAACTGATACAACTTCCGGACGGTCTACAACGATAGGAAAGAACAGAAAACAATCAAAGATCCGAGTACATATTAGACTGTGAAATGAAGCAGAAGGAATGACAATATCATCAGCTTGCCATGTTTTCGTACTCGATAATTGATCCACTTCATCATCTTCAAGGGTTGCAGCAAAGCCATTGATATGACTTGTGTACGAATAAAATATTGCTTCTTTAGCTTTCTCCTTGCTGTTTAATTCACAATTAATCAGTACAACAATGGAGATGGAATATTTATGAAATTAGTTGTCATTACCTTTTCAAACATGAACCCAGTAGATCATAGTAGGACTCGGTCATTCCATCATTCCCCAAGGTTGAAGGTTTAGAAGTGTGTGAATTTCTCCCGAGATACACCACATAAGACTGAACCATGGAAATCATATAAATATTATCATTGGAAAAATAACAGAAAACATGCATAGTAGTCGAGAGTAGGTTTTAACACTACGGTGCTTAATTCCATGCTCTCTAGCGCCCTCTTGTACATGTCAAAACCTTGGCATATACTCAGAACTTGGGCTTAATTTATTTTGATCATGGCAAGCAATAGCATTGCATGACTATAAAAGTAGGCAACTGAGAAAGCAAAGGACATGATGATCAAAGGTCAAGAGTGACACTTGCCTTTTTCACCGCTAATGTTGGACTGATCTGCAGAAAGGACAAAAGGGAGAAAAGAAGCAACAGAGAAGAAATAATCTTCATATTTCCTATACTTTCTTTTTGCTATACAAATGAAAGGCTGCTGATTCTACCCTTTATATAGGATCGTCATCTGAAAATTATCTGCGAAAATGTCTTCGTAATTAATGAAATTAAGCGTGGATGAAGATTTCAGATGTTATTACTGGTCAATAAATGATAATTAAGTTCTGCTGCTTAGTGACGTCGTCAGATTAATAGTATATTATTGCAAGCAATGCAATAGAAAATATCAGGATTTGAGCAAGTCCAATCATATGACCCTGTAAGTGAGTAGAAAATGTCTGCGTTGGCGACTAGCGAAATGTATTAAGACATGCTTTATTATTTTTAGTACAAGCTACCTTTCAGGCATTTATTAGGTTAAGATCAACAGGGAAGTTTCCAAACTCTTGAAGTGGGGTATCCTGTCGTTTCCAGAATTTAAGATCCATGACAGGGATAATTAATTCTACACATCCCTTTCCCGAATGAGATCAAGGTTGATGCA